ATGAATGTGAATTAATTTTTGCATTTCAAAGGAATGATAATAATTATACATACATACATATATAACTATATGTACATTTATTAGAAACAAAAAACTCAAAAAAATCGATTTTTCAAGAGACGAATTACCAGTAGTTTGACATAATAAATATCGCTAGCTTTGTGTGAAAAGTTAATAAGTCTGCATTTTATGAAGCCTCAAATTTTGGCATAGAAAGTAAGAGAAATAGAGGACTAAGGTAGATACTTGTTTTATTTTTTCTCGTTTATATTCAAAATGCAATATGGCCAAAATAATACGAATTTTTTTAACAGAGATCGAATCCTTCTGATTTGTATGGAGTTTTGCTTTGCTTTAAACACGCAAAATGTTGTATTCAGAGTTCCTGTAAAATTTGTAAAATTGGACTTAGCAACTTTTCACTTTAAGCCAGCGACATGTTAAATATAAATATGGAAACTTTGATTACTTTTTATTACACTTTAAATTACTAATATTATACATATATTTTTTTTAAATTACGTAAAACAATTTTTGTATCTACATAAAAGTCTGCAGCAGTTTGCTTGAATTGATTTAGAACGGGAACATATCTTTTTGTCAAAAGCCTACGAAACGCTTTCAAATAAAACATTTGCCTATTTGAAACTTTGAGGCGCTTAAAGCAAGTGAAGCAAAGCTGCCATTTGGCCACCCTTCATACGTTTTAGTATATTCCAAATAACTTTTGACAGTTTTCAAAGCCAAGCAAGCAAAGCAAGCCTGCATTGGGCCAGCGCCTTAACTGATGAATTAAGCGGAAATTTATTTTTTAAACACGTGGCGACCCTCCTAAATATAGTTCTTAAGTAAATGATTTTAAACCCATTTCCATTGATAACCATCGGTTAGTAATTCATATAACTTATTAAATAATTTTAGTTTAGCCCTTTATACTGGGACAACCCTCAAACACATAAAACATGTTTTAAATTGCCAAACTAAGTTGGGGTATTCACAATGGTGTCGTACTGTGGTATGTCGTAAACTTTAAAAATTATTATTCAAATTATTGTTGCTTTTCCACAATAAGTTTTCATTAATAACGGCCTCAAGCTCAATAAAAATTGTTGAATATAATTGTTGTAAGGCCATGAAATAACAAAAACGAATAACTTAAGGACGAGCATACCTAAAAGTTAAACATTCTAATAATAGAAATATGGTACATGTTCTTTATTCCGTGCTACACCAAGCATTTACGTAAAAACAGTATGAAGAGACGTGCGTATTTGCGGCGCAACACTTTACACCAGAATCTCTTTGAATACGGTTCAGATATTATTTAAAAAAAAGCTTATTTTTGCAAGTAATTTAAAATTTGTGTTCCACTCGCTGATTATTACATTCAACGAATAAAATTTTATTTTACATCGAAAATGGCAAGAAATCGCTACACAAAAGAAGATTTGACCGTAGCAGACAAGTCGGATTCACTAAACTAGCGCGACAAAATGTAAAAATCAAAGCCATGCGAATAGCGTCAAAATGTCATGGCTTACTTCTTGATACAATAGATAATTGTAACTAACTTTTGTTTTTTGATCTCTTTCACTAATAAAAGAATAGTAGGTATCAGGTTGATCGAGCTTTGCTCAAGTGCATATATTTTTTGAAGTTTTTAAGGTTTGGGTATCGAACATGGGTTAATTAGATAGCTGTTAAAAAGAATATTAAAAAAAAATTTACTTTTGATATCTTATGAAAAAAAGAAATTTCTTACTTTAAAAATTTGGTGGCAACCCTATTTGGAAATACATATATTGAGCGTGCACAAAAAATGCTTATTTAAATTAGCAAAATACATTTAAGTACTAAAAACACATGCAAACTTCAACGCAAATATTTTCTGACTAATGTTCACAAAATACTTTTCATTTTATACCCACATTGCGTTGGTTTAGTTAAATCGAAAATAAGTGGCAACCTTTCTCCAATATCCTAAGGGATAACAATTAATATAGGTATATGCAAATCATTGCTAAGATCCTTATTTTAGTATTCATGAATAGTAGATCACGTCAAAATATAAAAAATAAAAAAATCGGACAATGCGAGCTGAATGAATATCCTCTCTCTAGGACAATTGTAAGAGGTGCCGCGTTTTCTCTTAGGAGTTACACGTAAGACAATGAGTTATTTGAGGTCAATAAATTTCTCTAGGATCATTTGAAAACGCCCGAAACTATAAGAATTCAATGATTACATGCAATTTAAGTATTATGCATTCATCATGTATCTACAGATTCAGAAAAATCATAACAAAGCTTCAGAAACTATTGCAGTTAATACACCTTGAACATTTAAATACTTCTTAATGTTCACCGGCCGGCATCGAAAATAGCAAATACAAACAACATCGCCAATTACGAATTCCACAAATGTTTACGCTTTCGTTTTTAGACACCACCTGCTATTGATGTGTTAACATATTGATGTTCTATAATTAACTAATGTTTAGTCAAATTTAAAGTCATTTAATACTACAGACTGACACTTGTGGAAAAGCAGCAAGGCCAAACCATGCATCAATGATGGAAAAGTAGATACAATCATACTACATACATATGTTCAGCATCTTTTTAATTTGAAGGAACATTCAGTGCAAGCACATCATTTTAGCTCAGGACTTGCGAACCAAAGGCGATTTTCATACGTCGGGGAATGCTCTCTACTGAGTTTTCTATGATTTCGCTTGGAATATTGTCCCATTATAATTTTACTCGCCTCCAAAACTCTTCAATGCTAGTCGGAGCTCGCTTGTGCTATGCTAATCCTCTCTTGAACACAGCGCTCAATTTTTCGATGGCGTTGAGGTGTAGGATTTGTGCTGGCCACTGCATTACGTGAAAATTTTGCTTAAGCACCCGAATGTATCGAATATTTTCAGAATCTTTTCGACCTCCGTCCTGCTGGCAAACAACTTCTTCCTCAGTGTATGCGCTTTTTTCTACCAAGTTCGGCAAATCTGTTTGCAGAATATCCAGATAGTCTTCCTTGTTCATTATCCCCTTAATATTAAATAACGGTACCAAATGCCATCAAGTAAAACACTCACTGGAAAAGTTAACTATGGCATTAATTGTAGTGCTTTTGTTGTGTAAAGAAAAAATTTGTAGCTCTCATTTAAAAAAAAAAATGGTATGTAGTGCTAACTTGACACAGTACACTTATGGCCTTATTCATAAAAAATAAAATAGGTTTAAAGAGCTCTATAAAGTGACATTTTCATACAAAATTTCGATTTATAAAGCAGTTAAAGTGTTCTTTATTTTTTATGAATTTAGGTATTAGTCGATAGAATTGAGATATTGAAAATGTTATAACGGCCATGATACAAAAAAGAAGGTATATAGTTCCATTGTCACTTTTTCGTCGCCATATTAACAACCTGACAATTAAGTAGATTGTGACATTTCGTGGTACCGTATCCAATATCTAAAATCCTCCAAATTTTGTTATTAATTTTTGTTTATTTACAATCGAAATTTGAACAAGCAAAAGGTATTTTGTTGGGTACGGCTATTTGTAGGTAGGTTATTTGTACAATAATTTTGGGTTATTGTTTCCAAACGCTTAACCCAAAGCAAAAAATTTTAACACACACGCGTGGTCAAACAATTAAGCGTTAGTATAAAATAAAGGTTTCAAATTTTCAGATATAAATTTATGAGTAGCTTCGGTTTGAAACATGGATCTTTTTGTTAAAAATACTGTGGTCAGCGTAGCCGGACTGATGAGGGCTATTTTTTCTAACCGCTGCCGAAAGCCTACAACGTGGAAAGGTATTTTGCGCAAATATTTTGTGGTTGGCGTAACCCAAGTTCACATTTTCTCTATCCAAATGCTAATTTTACCCCATTTTTAAAATTGGATAATACTCACTTCTCTGAGTCATGAGACCTATGGGTTCCAAAGTAAATTCCATCTACAAGTTACTTGAAAGACATGGACAAAGACAATATCGAAATGTGTAATTTCAGTGCCTCAATTATATCAGAAACAATCGTATCCGATATAGAAAACTGTAATAGTCCTGGCTAACTATATTGTGTAATAATCAGATGACATAATGACACTAAAAAATTGTTAAAATATGTTCGCCACAATTTTATTAATGTAAAAATAAAGATTTTGGCAAGTGGTTATCGAATTTAATGTAAAACTTGAACGTTTTTAAGATAAAATATTAATTATTTTTAAGAGATAAGTGTTAATACAACAATTTTTTTATATTCCCAAATTTAGGATATAACATCCCCTTCACTAAAAACTTAAATTGGGTAACGCCGCTTCGAATTTTTTTACAATTGAGCAATTGTCAAAAATCTCCTTTTTAATCAAAAAGTTTATTGAAACTACCTTCTTTTTTGTATCATGATAACGGCATTAATTGTAGCTTTTTTGTTGTAGATTTGTAGTTGTATGGTGTCAAGTTAGCACTACATACCATATTTTTTAAAAAATGAGAGCTACAAATTTTTTCTTTCCACTACAAATTTACAACAAGAACTCTACAATTTATGCCATAGTTAACTTTTCCAATTTCGAAAAGTGAAGGGCTAACTTGACAGACGTCAATCTATGCACCGTGTAATGGAATTCCCCTATTGCCTTCAGTTTAAAAAAAATTATTAGGTGAAATCGTTGGTGAAAATCAAGGCGCCTTGGAGAAATTTATCAAAAATGTGTAACGAGTTTCCATACAAATTTTTACAGTTAATTTGCGAAGTTTACACAATTATAAGTTTATGCCGCCTATAATGCATTTATAAACTTTGATGAATACCCTCTATATACCCCATCTACCTATAACTATGTATATAAATATATTTATTTCTTTTTTTAGCTCCCAAAACCGTCTAAATACCTAAGAAAGCGAGAATTTTGGGACTTCAGTGTATGTACTATATACGTAGGTATGTGCATACCTAAGAACATACCATGCTTTCATCACTTACCTCTTCTAATATAGCAATGGTTTGACGACAATCTGGCATTCTTGATGCAAATGTCGATGTTGTTGGAGAATTATAATCATCGCGAGTCTCCTCCACAAACTCTGCGATTCCAATCAATGCAGCTGGTGGCATTTTGTATATACTACAGCTTTTTGAAGAAAAATTGTATGGTTTACACTCAAGGTATGCTAGTTTTAGCAATTGTTGCTGTAGGAAATCGTTCTACATACACACGCGACAGTCTCCGAAATGTGGCACTACGTAAAATACGAAAAGTTTATGTATGTACAAATATGTTTGTAAGTGGAGCACACTGCTGCGCAGCAGCTGCTTCAAAAGGATGAAACGAATTCGACAACACCAACTGTGACGCCGCAAAGGAAAAAGGTATCTGCCAACAATAGCGAGCTCATACAATTTCTGTCAGCTCGAGAAAATGCAACTAGCAAAAAAGTTAAGGAACTGTTTGAATTTCAATCAGACGCAATTTATTCGGCTCTAGTATCGCTAATAGCATTTAAAGCATAAACTTTTACTATATCTACCATTCGAGTACTCGAGTTTCACGATATGTAATTCACAATTCACTCTTCTAGTTTAAGGACACGTGTGTATACAATTTATTCAATTATTACATTTTAAGAAATCCATACTATTTCACACAGGCTATTGCTGTTCTCATTAAAAATTAAGATAGATTGTCTGCTTCAGGCAGAAAGTGGATAGTAATAGGACTACATCACAACACTTGTATCGTTTTTATAACTTCAATTAGCATTTCAAAACTTTGTATTTTAATCATCCTTTGCAGCCAACTGTTTGACGTATACTATGGAATAGAGAAAATCGAAGCGCGTCGCAGTAGTTAACACCCATTTTCACTCGTTCTCCCTTTTCCTAAAGCGTTTATATGCACATTTGTATGTATATATTTACATGCATATGGATTTCTACGTATCCTTTCATAAGCATAAGGAATAAGGGAATACTATTCAAAGGATGTAAGTCCAATTATTGGCAATAGTCCGCCACTGCCACTTCAACCTTCAAAAAAACGCGAACAAATTTTCGCTTTCTCAATTTTCAATTATTTCACATATGAATTTTTTACTCTTTGTTTTGCTGTTTGGCTTTTTTCCATCTGCTTTTGCAGACGTCGACAAACAAAATCGTATTTGTGCACTTTTCTCCGTCTCCTTTGGCACGACGACGGTATCTTTCAGCAATACCGACGCAAGCAATTTCATTTGCACATGCACTGCAGAATTTTATACACTACTCGACAAACATATTGGAAAATTCATATTTTATTAATTTCTTAATATTATTTTTATAACAGACCCGCTCATGCATTTTATTAGCAATTCATAAAATTCTTCAACCACTTTCGGACCGGACGCGACGACAGCGACAGAATGAATTTTTGACACAAAATCGAGTGAACGAAAATTCCCAATTACCCAACTAAAGATGAGCTAAAGAGTTTTAACAATTTTCGATAAATATTATAGATGTAACAGGCTAACACCCGATTTACATGATTCAGGTACTTGAAAGCAATTCTTGCTCATTCTCTTTTGTTTCCCATTTGCTTGTACACGTTTCAATTCTGTTGGATTCAAGTTGTTGGTTCTTAAGTTTAGGTTCACACAGAGAAGCTTTTGTTAACTATTTTCGGCAAATTTCTTTTTT